ATAACCCATATCAAGAGAAGCCATTCTGATCATGATAGATGAAGCAACTTTGTAGACTTATGATATATACCTATTGAATGTTATATTAGCAGAAGCCTTAACCCAATTAACTAGGTCTTAGTCCTCACCAGCAATTTGTTTGTTTCAGCTACAAGAACTTCCAACACCTGATTTTTTCTATCCTTATTCTTAATGGTGCAGCTGTGCAGGTTGTCTGTCAGAGACAGCAGTCTCCAAATGCCACGAGATCTATCAGATGTTATTGAAACAATATATGATATCTTTTGTTTTACCATTTGAAAATCAAGAAAAAGAAAATGGAAGAAAATTTTAAAAAGATAATAATTAGGGATTCAGGAATAAAGCATCTAAAAACCTGAGATAAAACTCTGACTTCAGTAGTCACACACTTTTTACTAAAGGGGATGTTTAGAAGAAGTAGCAAGGACAAATTTATGAAAGATGACTATGAGTGGGTAATAATTAAGCAATCTGAGTTCTTTCGGGCAGCTGGCTATCAACATCTTTAAATCCAATGAATAAGAAATAAATATTTGCTGAAGTAATGAAACAGGAAAAACTAGCAAAGAGATGCCATGCTTCCCACCTGGTAACTTGATATAATCTTCTGCCTGTATTCTCTGTGTCTCTGAACCTGTTAAATAACATGGCATGAGCGTCATAAAAAATTTGGAGGACCACAACCTCTCTTCATTCACATAAAAAGATAGGGGGAAAAAATGCTGAAGCAACATAAATTTATAATGGCCAACAACATCCCAAAGAATAAGTCAAGCATGACTTGCTTGCCAGGGGCAAAAGTACTTGCATCAATAAAATAATAACAACCCCTGGCGCCAATTTAAGCTTAGACCCCTTAGCAATCAAAGCAAGTTATTCTTCTATAACAAAATCACCTTTTTCCTCCAAAATTGCATCTATAGGAACCACTAAAAAGTCCATGTTTAAGTTTACACCTCAGCTGTAGGAAAGAAAGGAAAAGAAAAAAAAATCATAAAGAACCTTCAATTTGAAAAAAAATTATATGCATTTTGATAATAGCTTAGATAATATGCTTAGAGCCAAATTAAACAATAAGAATTAATATCGAAGTTGAACATTGTTTTTCAGATTGGTCCAATATACTACAGATCTGTGTTATCCTCATTGAGGCACCTGTTGTTTGTAGACATCACTTTCGAATTTTCCATGGATGGATTGAGTGTGATAGAAAGCTCATGACTTTAGTTTCCCATTTTACTTTTTAACCAAAACTATATCTTGCCTTCCTTTGTATTACTAATTTCAAAAAATCATGAGCTATTATTATACACTGAACAACTTGCATAGCTGTCTAAAATGTACCAGCTATAATTTTTTTTTACAGAAAAAAGCTATAATATAAAATGAAGACGGAAATGAAACCCATAGGAGGATAAGCTATCATCAGACAGACAAATAAGAGAAGACATACAAAAATCAAAGAGAGACATAAACAGCAAGTTAAATTTTAGCGAACAGATATTCAGTAACTAAAAGCTAGATATCCTGCTATCGATCGTACAAAGATCGGAGAAGTTGGGATTCAATTATAGAATCTGTTGAGAATAAGCTTGTTGGTTGGAAAAGAAACTTTCTTTCCAAGGGAGGAAGATTAACACTCATTAAAAGCACTCTATCGAATCTTCCGATTTATTTTCTTTCAGTATTGTGCATCCCAAAAAATACTGTAAAAAAATTGGAAGCTATCAAAATCGCTTCCTTTGGGATGATGAGATCAACAAAAGGAAAATCCACCTTGTCAGATGGGAGTATCTCAAGAAACCTACTGTTTCCGGAGGATTGGGAATCAAATCTGTTATCACATTTAATCAAACTTTACTTAGTAAATGGACTTGGAGATTTTTGAACAAAGAAAATAGTTTTTAGAGAAAACTGATTGTTCACAAATGGTATGGGGAAGATTTACATAATTCCAATTTACTGGATCACAGCATACATGGTTACAGTTTATGGAAGAGAATCAATGTTACATACATCCTGCTATCGATGTTACATTTGTTTGAAAGATTAACTTTTAGAGCAAAGTAGGCAAAGAATGGTAGAGTTTAATAATAAACCTATTCGTTGGTTTCTAATACAGCTAATGGGTAAAGCAAGGGATCATTAAACTGATCCTTTACTCTCTTCACCCTCGGGTACCCAACCCCAAATTGGGAATTGGGACTTGTGAGGTTTCATAATTAGTTTAACATTATATGTTTCTGATAAAAATTCTTAATTATTTATTTTTGTAATAAATTATAACGTATCTTTCGATATGGAAGCATATTTTTGTCGTATTAAGCAAATCTCTAGCTTACCTTCCTCACTTGAACCAAATAACATTGGATCAAAAGCTAACTTCCTTGTTATAATTAACAAACTAACTAACTAACTTCCTTACTCTGTTTGCTCTCTTTTGCTTCAAAAACTACTAATTTATTTTCTTCCTTGAGCTCCTAAACAAAGTGTTAAAGAGGTAGGTAACAGACCTAGCTAAGACAACAGAGTCGGGAAGTATATTTCCACAATGTTAGCACTTAGCTAAAGAAGTACAGAGCAAGGGCATATCAGTAATTCCACATTTAAACGACACTCCCACATACTTTTTATTGACGACTATGCCTGTTAGGCAAGAAAACAGCCACATTTTCTCAAACACAACAAAACCCTTAACTCAAGAAAAAGGACTCATAGGCCACATGGTCACAATAATTCGCCAAGGGTATACAAATTTAGAAAATAAAGATTAACATTTAATATGGATATAAAACAAATAACTTTTTGCTGTTCACATTCTTGGATAATTTAAACAGAAAACAAGAAGAATAATCAAACCATGAAATTCAATGGAGAGACATACTCTGGTGCGTTCTCCGTGCGGCAAGTACTTCAACAGAATCTCCCTCATGAACTTCACTTTATCGTCCCGACCCAGAGTGAGCATGCTCGGTGGCAAGTACCTCTCCAACGAACTGAAAATAGAGGGACTGAAGTCTAGATGTAGATCGTCATAGCTCTCGGGCTTGTGGTCCTTGCTAGGGTTCAGCCGCAGCCTCTGGCTCGACATCAGTGCCGCTGGTGCCGGATTCATAGCCGGAGGAGGAGCTCGGCTCAAGCCCCTTGCAAGGACGCCGTTCCCTTCGCTTCCGGTCGCCGTATGAACCTCCCGGCGATCACCGGACATGATGGTGAAGGTCGAAATGGGGAATTACTATGAAAAACCGGGATTCTGTCTATAGCATTGGGAGTAAAACCGGAAATTCTCAAAGCGAGTTAGGGTTTTCGATACAGATTAATCTAAGCGAGATTTCTCGGAGTAGAAAAAATGGGAGAAGAGGTTGGGCTTCTGTGACAGTTAGGGTTTGGCAAAGCCGGTAGTTTCAAATAGCCGGTGTTTATTTTACTATTATTTTCTTATGGTCCCTTGCAAATTACATCATATTGTGAAATTTGCCACTTTATTTCTCTCTTATCTACTTAAATTTTGAAATTTAACGTGTGTAATAATGCATGTAATGTAGCCCGTTTAAAATATGCGGCTTCATCTTTTTTATCTATCAAAATTTTAACATTCAGTGCATGCAATATATGCGTTATTTAAAACATGTAAAATATGTTAATTTAATTATCCATAGTTTCAAATTATATATATAATATATATAAAATCTGAATATATAAATTTATTTATCTTTTATTAATTTAAATCTTAAAATGCATATGAGTGTAAACATGTCATAGACAAAAACAACACAAGCCTCCTAATTCCTCACATTCAATTCAAACTTTACGAGTAATGTTCGATGAAGTACGATATTAAAATAATATTTACAAATATGCTATATTTATTTTTATCTTATAAACCCACCAAATTAGGATTGAATACATTAATTGAAGATGTGTATTGTTCTTGTTCCACGACATGCTCGTATTCATATAAATTTCAAATTTTAGGTCAATTAAGGATAAATAAATTTGTATAAAGGTAAACAAATTTAAGTGCAATATACAAAAACTACAATAGTATAGTAATATTTACAATCATGCGACATTTATTTTTATCTAATAATACATAATTTGTATAGTTTTTAGCATTAAGATTAGATATTGATTTGGTATGAAGAAGAAGTATGTAGAATCTTATTATTAAAGGGAATGCCTAAAATGTATCCTATTAACTCTCTTATAAACATCAACATTATAAAGAATTTGTGATGTTACTTGATATTCTTGATAAATCCAATATATTTTTACATCTTTCCATATGAACTAAATTCTTATATTTTATAATCAAGTAACTAATATATTGATTGTAAAGAAAATGCAAGTTATTAACAAATTATAGCTTTTCAACAAATCTCACTTTATCTTTTTCGTACTTCCGCAATATAATTGTTGATTACCTTTTTAAATGAATTAATATTTTTTCAAAGGAAAAAAACAAGAAAACAAAGAGAAAATTATTTATTTTGATAATTTTTTAGTTGTTTTAATATGTGTAATTGCTATGATTATCTCAATAATAAATTTTATAATTTGGAAATTTTTATTTTTTTTCATATTTATTGCACATGTTTCTTTTTAATTTATATACTACAAGTAAAAAATATAAGTACTTATTTTTACTCCATAATTTCCTAACATTTAATCAAATATAGTGACTTAAATTTTAAAATTTGAGCTTATTATATTTGTATTTGAGTTTTAAAGTTTAAGTTATCTAATATAAGATATCTCATTATAATTTATATACTTAAATTTTGAATATCAAATTAAAGTTCCAACTCATGAGTTAGTATGCAATATAGGTCAATAACTTTCAACCATTTAATCAATCGCAATGAGTGTAACAACTGAGAGTTAAATTTATCTATATATATATATACATAAATGTAAAATATAAAATACAAGAGAGGGAAAAGTGAGAGGGAAGAATGAGCAGGACGGTGTAGATTAGGGAAAAGGAAATAGACGGTTGGGATGAGTCACAGGGGTGAGTATAAATAGGTTGAGGAGATAGAAAAAAAAAAGGAAAAGAAAAAGAAAAAGAAGAAGAGGGAAAGAGAAGTGTCGATCGAGGAAGGATAGGGAGAGAGAGGGTCGAAGAGGGAGGAGCTGATTCAAGTGAATTGGAAGAAAACTATGGCTGAGCTGAGAACGATGGAAGCAAGAGGTACTACAAATCCAAACTTCTAAACATTATAACGGTATTTAGCATTTTAATTCTTACAATGGAGTAAGGGTCGACGTGGAGAGTTGGAAGAAGAGATAGGAGGTTGGGAATGAGAGACTACAGTTATAGGAAGATTCGATTGAAAGTGTGAGTGAAAAAAAGTGGAGAATCCGTGAAGGGAGGAGGAGACGGGTGCGAGAAAGGTTCCAAGAGGGGGAGAGCAACCAATTATGTAAATAGGTGCAGGAAAGTGAATCTTAAACGATTTACGAATGGGTATATAAATGGGTAAAGGTTATGGTAGGTTAGAGCATAGTGTGGTGTAGGTGTGTAGTGCGGTCGAATGATTTTTGGGTAAAGATGAGTGTAGTGGTGGTTGTAGTAAACGTACGAATATGGGGTGTGAATGTGAGGTAGTAAGGAGACTAATAAAAGTAGGGGCTAAAAAATAGGGATATTGATGTAGGCAATTTACAAGATTCCATGCTTTGTTCTATGTTTGAATTTACTTTATTGCATTTGTGTGTGCTCATTTTCTCTTATTTACAGATGATATAGGACAGGAAGCTGGATTGGGACTTCATTCCTCTAAGATTAGCACATAGAGAAGATGGCTTGGGGAGTCTAAATATTGGATTTTGGAACTATTGTGTAATTAACTAGAAGTAGATTGTATAGGGAGGAAATTTTGATGTATGTGGCTTGTAGTGTGGGTAGTTATATGATTGAAAAGTTTATATTGATGAATGAATGAGTTAAATAC